TTGTTATACAAGTCTTGTATGGTATGTATTCATTGTTATACAAGTCTTGTATGGTATGTATTCATTGTTATACAAGTCTTGTATGGTATGTATTCATTGTTATACAAGTCTTGTATGGTATGTATTCATTGTTATACAAGTCTTGTATGGTATGTATTCATTGTTATACAAGTCTTGTATGGTATGTATTCATTGTTATACAAGTCTTGTATGGTATGTATTCATTGTTATACAAGTCTTGTATGGTATGTATTCATTGTTATACAAGTCTTGTAATAACTTGGAATAACTTCGTAATTTATAGCTTTCTCGTTACTATTTGTTAATATCATCATCCTAATCTATTGTTCTATTTATAGCTGGAGGAACCGCTAAGCCCTTTGCAACTCAGCGTAAGCATAAATAATTGTTAAACTCTTTTAAAAGCAATGCACTGAACTTAAGTCATACATATAGCTGCATGACAGACGATTTATCTTTTCTACACAGTGTTAGATTTAATATGATGTAACCTTTTTTGAGCACGACTATTGTAAAGCATTACAAAAATGCTCCATTTTGCATTTCCTGAAAGGTAGCCGAACCTTTGTATCAAAGCGAGACTGCTGAYGAGCATGCAATGATCGATGCAGATTGCAGAATTATCTGAGCTGTCGAACAAAGATGACGCTGCAGGAACTGTAAAATGGAGTATTAACATTATGGGAACTAATTATTCAATCTTTAAATACTGTTTACCTAGCCTCACACTGTGCAGATAACAGTCCATCGTGTGCACAATTCAAGTTCATGTGTGATTTAGTGTCGGGAAACATGAAGAAAAACTGTCCCTATACATGTGGTCATTGTTCAGGTTTGTAGAACGGATATCGTCATTAGAAACAGTATTACATTCATTCTGATTAGTTTTTTTCTTTTTTTATTATATTTCCCATGGATCAATTCAAGCTCTAAGTAAGTATTTTCTACTTCTAACAATTACTTTAAACATTATAAAAACTCGATCATGATGAAGATGGATTGGAAATGTATGTAGCCGTGGCCTAGAATCGATGAGCGTTCAACTTTAGATATTTTGGTTCGATGACCATGATTGAAAAGAATGCACACGAGGCTCCGGGAAAACAATGGATAATCTTGATTTATTCTTTTATTTCCCCGGAGCCTCGTCTGCAATTCTTTTGTGCATGGTCACTGAACAACAATATCTAAAGTCGGCTATTTAACGGTATGGTCTGAGAGAACTGTGGGGAAGACTATTGGGCTTCCTGTGCTGTCATACGATGCACATGAAGAACACAGGAATCCCAATCACATTAAAATATGAATATATCATTGTTTTGTACTTAGACTCAAACTGTGTCGACATAATTCACATACCTAAATGGTGCCAAGCTTATAAAAATATGGGATTTTGTGGTCTTCCTTCGATAAAAGCTAATTGCATGAAAACGTGCGACGTCTGCTAATGAACATGGTATGTAGAACACTCATTCTGATTGGCCAAGGTTAGGAATCAATTTGGTAGTCAGATAACAATCGTAATGCTTCAATCTGACAATTGTTTCTAGATCTGTGATATATATATCAACTATCTGCTATCTGTTTTAACTTTTCAGAACTAGAAAAAACCTGAACAGGACTGGAAAAAGACACTAAATAGAATAACATATTGTAAAAATAGATATAACCTGATGACGATTAAAAGATTATGCAAGACACTTGTTTGCCTTTTTTTGCCTTGATTCAATGTTTGGTAAAAATAAACATGTTACTGACAGCATACGTTATTGGCTAATAGCAATTTCGGAAGCCAGATTGACAGTCATTCTTTCCCATGCAACTCAATTCATATTTACATGCTTGTTTAGTCGGTTTGTTGGTTCTTTAGATAGTTTGCTTGTTGTTTCATGATTTCTTTCTGTTTACCAATTTTCTTAGTTTTTGTTCCTTTTTCTTTGTCTGTTTGTTTCCTTGCTTACGTTTGTTATGCTTGTGTTTTTTTTCTATTTTCTATTTTCTGCTTTAATATTGTTTTCAGTCTATATTTGCTTGACAATCTAGTGTTTTCTACTACATTATATCTTGAGCTCTTGTTCTATTGTTCTGGATGTACTGTTGTAGTCTGGAGGGTTCAGACACGTACAACAAAAGCTTGTTTACTTACTATTACTCGATATTCATTAATCAACTCGCACACCATTTGTTTATTGATCCAAGTTGATCCTACTCATACTTTGTACTTAAGACCATTCGTCCCTTTATTGGTTAAGTACGCGTTGGCGAATTTGCATCGTTAATCCTTAAAATTGTTTGCAGCAATTGTTGTTATAGTATTCATGTAGTTCATTATCAATAAAAAAACCCAGCAATTTTAATGTGTGATATCCCGATGGCATTTAGTTATATCAAAGGGATGTGATAGGTGACAGTCAGATTGTCTAGCGTGATTTGAAAAGGTCGCATCCTTCGTATCGATTTACCAAGGGTTAAAGCCGATCAGGCAACTTGTTAATTGAACATCACGATTGCCGAGATAGCTGTGATTTAATTAACTTTGTAAAATAATCGAAATACATAGCTTAGTTACACGGCAAATACTGGATATTGGGAAAAGCCATTCCCTCTGAAATTCCATTCGACATTTGCGCTGGGAAACTTAAGAATTGTGCCCTGTAAGTTTCACTTCGAGCATGGCACTGTTTTCTGTATCGTTACGAGTGTAAAATGGAGCAAAGATCTCCGACCTAAGGTTAGTGAAATACAGTTGTAAACTGAAAATTAATTAAGTCACAAAAATCTGTTCAAAACGTACTTATTTGAGGATAAAAGTTCGTTAGGAGGAAAGCTTTGTCTAAAGCCTGCTAGCCGCTAATCCTTTCTAATATTGTTTTGAGTATTAGTCATTTCCAACATTAGTACTTTAAGAAGTTCGTTTATATATTCATTATGTGTTCAATTTATTCTTAGGAAGTGAGTTCTCCACAGCGAGAAAGAGATGAGTTACTGAGTTAACTGTGACAAGGTTGTTCGTGATCGTTTCTCAAGATGTTGAAAGCCTTGTCCTTATTTGGTTTTCATCAAGCATTTTAGTGATCTTCAAACGCTTTTGGCGAGCATGAAAACATTAACTTCATCCGTAAATTTTTCATATAGCTCTCAAAAAGATGTTGTAAAAGTCTAGTAAATGGTAAAATGAATTCTAAGTAACGAATTAATATTAGAGATGAACTTAGACTTTGAGGCTGCGCGCCAGAGAGCTGACGATCGACTCAATCAAGAACTCACAAGAATTAGAAATTTACCAAAAAGAAGCAAAATCACTATCTGCAATAAGCATGGATTACAACACGCTCACCACATGAACACTGGACTTGTCAAGAACCTTGAAGTAGATCTCTCTATTCTGAAGAGGGAGAAGAGAAGAGTTCTTAACGAGTTGAACAAGAAAAAAAGAGAATTCGCTGATTCTACGCAGAAAAGTTTCCCTAGACTATTGGCGATTCCTGGAAGGAATGCTGCGGTTGAAGTGAAGAAACAGGAAATAAAAAACAAGCATTCCCCACAAAGGTAGGTATATTTTTATTCATTATAATTGGTTGGATTACTAGAATATTTCTATCTTTGACTGAATGACTTCAAAACTGCATCATCTCTAATATCCCCATATAAAGGACCGTTCATTTGGCTTATTTCGGCTTCTGCCGCCGCGTTCCTTGGTTAATACTCCCAACTTATGTTAGCTTACATTATTTGATTGATTTTACTTTTTGTTTAAAGATTTAAAGCAACATGGGGACGGACATCGTTTTCAACTTACTTCACTCAAAAAGAGAGCGAAAGAACTCAACAGAAACGAGAAGTTCTGATTGCAATTACTGAACAAAGCAAGAAAAGAACCAATCGAATCATTGAACAAAATATTCAAAAAATGGAGAACAACATCGTCGAAGATGACGGTTTTATTGCAAGACTAAATAAACGAGAACTCAGCAAAAGTTGCTTTCCTTCGCTTCTTGATACCCCATCGATAAAAGAAAAGGAATTTCGTGACACAAGACGACGGAAAGCTGATTCTTTTTACAAAGGGACGACGTACTTCATGGCTGAAGACAGTCATAACGTTGACATTAGACATGATCATTGATTGAACTCATAATCAATATGGACATCGGGTCCACTTGTCTTTGTTCATGGCTTCCTTTGTTAAGCTTTGCTTCCAGCCCTGACTACTATGGCTATATTGCAAGCAAAACGCGTTTTAACTTAAAATGCACATTTGGTTTTGGCATCAAGATTCCATTGTTAAAACAGTCGTTTTCATGCATACAGAGGTCAAGATGGGCCATTAAAACAAGAAAATAGAGTATGTTTTACACCGTAGTTATGGATACTAGAATTTGAGTGACACAAACGTGTAAATAACATAATATCTTTGTATGAAATTTGTACACTTTTGAAGTGAAATCATGACGTGGCCTTCCTTGCTACTCATTGCGCCGCATACTTTGAGTCCATTGTCATTAACTAATATTTATTATTTATTAAGATTATATTCATCATTATCATAACGAAATTATCATCAACAACATCAGTATAATAGTCAACTTTATTTTGTGATTGTTGAACAAACTGACTAAAGTGCAACGAATAAAATGACGTGTTTTTTTATCTCTCGATAATTCTATGATTTTCAGTGTTCATTTTTGATTATGAACGCCAGTTTCTTTTCAAATTGCATTGATTTACTGAGAAAACATCCTATTTGATTAGTTGTAATTTCACCAATAAGCCATGTAGATGCTTTATAATATCTGCATATATCCCATAGTGACGTACCGATATGATGTCATAATAAATGATGACGTCAGTATGACGTAAATAATAGACAGTTGATTGATGACTATTTGACAGCTTGGTCCTTAATACCGCTTGGAATAAAATATCTTGAACGCAATGCCACTGGTTTTGCTATGTTGATGATAGACATCGCTGGGTTTTCTTTGTTTCTGTCCATCTTAAACCGGTAAAACCGGTTTTGCGCTATTCTAAAGTAGGCAATCCTGTTTCTTTCCTCCAGTGGTTTAAATCCTTTATACTCCATTTGATAATCAAAACTTAGTTCTTTGGTTTTTGTCCACTTCATATCTGCCATTCTTGGCGTCCTACAGGATGTCGACTCCCCGTCCAATCCAATTTTTTGTCGAGTTGTTGCCATGGCAGTACCTTTTGGTGTGTCATTCACCTTAACTGATGGTGTTGGGCTGGTCATAACTGGGCTTTTATGCCGGAGGTCTTCGCGGTTTATAGTCAGCCTATAATTCTCTTTTCTATTATACATAGTTTACCATATCACCCTGGCACACAACAAGAAAATAAAATGAATATGGATACGAGACATGAACATCTTGTTTGATAAGGTGATTGTTCAGTGTTTGTGTGAGTAGGACTGCGTTTTGCTTTTGTTATTTTAGTCCTTCTGTGCATCATGATTGTGCAGTCACGGTATGTACTAAAAGCCTCACAGTGCTTTTTCATCGTCCGTGAAAGTCCGATCATAATAAATGAAAACGAACAAAAGCCGAAAACAATTCAAACAATTCAACAAGTGTAATTAGATTTCTTGTTTTGTAAAGAAGTGACTAGGATTAGGCCCAGGTAATTTTCACTATATATATATATATATAATTACCGTTACAAAGGCTTTAAAACTGATATCGAAGTCCGCCTCAAACTATTCCAACTATTCAAAGATAATGATACATATTTTATGAATCCGTTCTGATGATCAACAAACACCGCACTAAATGAATACACCTTGAGTTAAACATCACACTTCATCGAGTTGACTTCAGATCAAACAAGCCTTTAAGCTTAAATGCTATGCTTTTCCGTCGACTGGACGTTTAGAATGGCCAAGACGATGAGTTTACTGGCAAACTTTTTTTGGGTATCGCGGCTTGATATCTATCCGTGAAATTACCTGACCGCCTTGATGTTCAAGGTAAACGCATTTAAACACTTTCATCTACTTACCATCAATCTCACTTAAATTGAGTAGTTACTGGTAATGGTAAACCATTTTCCAAAACAAAATGGCTGAAACAGCTAGTCCTTTAGTAGGGTTACGTTATAGGGTAAATTGGGTTTGGTAGAGCATTGCGAAAGAAATTGCTCATACAATTTAACAAGGGTGGGGTAGGGATCAAGCATTAAAACCTAACCGGGGTGGGGATGGGATCTGGCACTTTATCCAATTCAGTTCAGAGTGGTTGTGAAGATATCAACATCTTTTACTTTTTATGATATAGTTTCTTTGATATCGCATATGCAAATAATCCGTTTCTTCCTAAGCTCCTTATAATACTACCCTCCATTGCACCCTCCCCTCCCCTTAATCCACCACATGCACCCCCCCCCCTTCCTAGTTCATTTCTAGTTTGAGATTGGATTAAGAGTCTAACAATAGAGGCACGTCAATTATTTCTTCATTTAAGTTTAAAACGACTACATCAGTGTATTGAACCATTTAAAGCTAAACATAACTAGAGGGCACTCTTGAAAAACTAAAAAGACGAGATAGACTTGTTCGACAGCGAGTTAGAATGAAAAACAAAATCATGTTCCTGACTCATGTGTATCTGTATTCCCACAAGGATTAGTTGGAATTCTGTTGCTAAGTAATTTGTAATCAGTTCATAGTATGTGCTAATTACACGCAGCCTTTTCCCTTTCTAGCAAAATGTTCGTGAATAACAATTTACCTCTTAATTTTTACAAGAAGGTTCAAAAAGTTGCATTTATTAATCATTTTCCAATACTTGCTCCACATAAATCATAATGATTATTACCAAGAGCAGGTTTATCCGGCCAATAAATGCGGTATTGCCAATTTTGTAGACCCATGCCCGCAGAAAATCATGAAATCGCATAGATTGGAAATTGGAATTGTGACATATTGTGTTAAAAAAATTGAAGTTTTAATGATTAATTTTCTATCGTTGTTAACTATTGAACTCTAATTTGAATCAACGTAGCATCATTTGATTCCTATAACCTCTTTTACATGTTTCTTGATATTATTTGTTGTACTTGGATTTTTACATGTGAGTTCCTATTCAGAAATCGATATCAATGAAAGAGGAGGCACAAAACATTTATTCATTTCTCGTGTACTTTCTTACTGGATCTGTTTCTTAAAGTATAAGCAGTCATTTATTATAAACCGTCAATATGCTTCTCTGATTTAAATTTAATATTCATGCACTGAGTCCTGTAGAATGCAACACTGATCACAATGGTGGCAAGCTGTGGATTCCTTTGTCCTTGCTAAGGGTCACCGCACCATCATCCCTCCCTTCATTGGTTTGACGTTTAGTCGACTCGTGTTTGATATCACATAGACTTCTTTGATCTGCCTGGCACGACATAGCAAGGTGGTAAATAGGCGGGAACATAGGTTTACCAGTGCTCTGATATCCCACACGAGGCTGTCCCTTGATTTCATGGTCCCTGAATAACGATAACTCTTTCCAACTACACATCTCCTTTTCTCGTATTTTTCTTAAAGCTTCGATCTTTTTAGGATCTATTTGACCGTAGTTCACGCATTTACAGTTGTACAAGCGTCTCATGAATCGATGCTGTGGTCCTCTAGTCATTGTCTACTACTGGCGAGGATTATACCGACGGTTTCATTTGTTATATCTTGATCATTGCAGTTTCCACGATGTTCGTATAGCTGTCCCTCCTTTTGCAATTGCTATCTATTGCTAAAGGTGCAAGTTATACTAAGAAACACAGTTTTGCTCAGTTCGTACCGTTCAGATTATTGCGGTCCCTGGAGCAGTGGAAGAAACGTAATAAGGCTATGCCCAATGTTGTATGAGTCCCAGAGTTTCTCAAATAACAAAATTACACTATTTGAAGTTCCTTTTCCATGATGAGTAATATAGAAGAAATAAGCGTCAGACAACAATAAATCCAATAGGTTTTTTGCATATAACACACGTAGAAACTTGCTTTTAAATGACTTTCTCTCAGACCGTTTTTCAAAGATGACTTCAACCTGCTGTTTGGGAAGATCTCTGACTTCAACAACGTACTGGATATTACAAATTACCAAGGAATAGCCTTACATAATAGCATATAACAGGAATGATATACGACTATAACGAACGCTATGTAAGAGATAAATACCGAGAACGGAGGCAATAAGCCATATAAAGCACGAGGGGCCGTAGGCCCCGAGGGCTTTATA